TCTCTGCTACACAAAAAACATAATTCACAACTGAGCTCTTATATACCTTACAATGCGGATAAAAAAGATTTGGATGACTGAAACTAAAAACATTAAACTGGTTAGGATTGTTAGACCAAATAATTTCGTATTACTGTCAGGAAAAAATACAGAGAAGTATCGGTCACAATTTGGATATGAAATGCGATAAAAACAGAAAAATGATGGCATAAAAAAACAGTAATAAAATGATTCACAAACGCACAACATAACTAAAATGTTATTTGAATAGATAGATTTATTTTAAAATATGACTTGATTAGTAGCGAAAGATATATATATGTACAAAGAGAGCAGTAATAATTATCACCAATTGCAGAAATTATATTTCCACCACAAATTTACTTATTTTTAAGGAAAAAGACAATCTCATATTACATGCTATAATAAAAAAACAGTTGAATTTTCGTGCACTTTAAAACGCTACTTTTTTCACTTCAACGTATGCATTGTGGATGAACTAAAAAAGAAATTCTTCAAAAATCAGAATTACATTAAATAGGTATAAGTAGGTGCATGCACATTATTAATTCACTGGAATACAGAAAATGCATCGCGAAAACTGCAAAAAATTCTACAATTCTTCCAGAGTAAATGATAAATTCTAAATACAGGAACTTGCTAACAATGAAAACATTATGCGTTGCAAAGAAATTTCAAAAAATCTAGTAATCAAATTTACTTCCATATGTTCTCAGAATGAAACAACATGTTTCCAAAATATGTGAATTTGATGAAATTCATGAAGCAGAACAAATATGAAATATTTGTTGACAACATATGGATAAAGCTGATGCAATGCAAATCGCTATCGAAATATGGAATTTTCTGAATTCATCAGAACATCTGAATCGTACAAAGCTGCACAGTTATACAATGCCGAACAAAAAGCTTATCAAACAAATAACTCAATAAGCTTCTCACAAATACAGATCCATCTCTTGAAGAGAATTTCTTACAGTTGCGTATACATGAAATAAAAATAAAAAAATAGCAACTTAAACAAAGGAAAATGTAAAAAAAAGAAAAGAAATCACATCTGAAATTCGAAACCATCTGGAATCACGTAAAGGTCACCTTTTTGGATCACAAATGACTCACTCACGATTCAAGCTATCCATAGATCAATATGACAATATCGTTTCGTCATGAAACCACTTCAAATTGAAATAAAGGAAAAGAAAAATTGTTGAAAAAAGGGAAAATTTGATTCAATATAGAATAATGTTGAATTTTATAAAAACATGAGAATATGTACATAAAAAAGAATGCTAGTAAAAAAACAATGAGATAGAATGAGAGAGACAGAGAGAGAGAGACTTCGAGAAGTCAGCAGTTATCATTTTCGACAGAAGACTCCTACCAAAATTTATAAACAAGCTTTTCGCTATGATGAGATTATATGTATTATCATGCGTTATCCACATCCAGTTACTTCCTTTCACAAAATTTCAAAAATATATGAGGTTTACGCATCCGTTGAAGTCGGCTCAGTATTAACAGCTGAAGCTGAGCCACTTGGAACTCCTGCTGCTGCCGCTGATGATTCTACTGGCGATGATGATGAACTGCCTACTGCTGCCGTTGAAGCTCCTAAAAAGAGACAATTTTGTAAGTGGAAACCAGAAATAAAATCTCATAAAAGCATCGGAGTCAGTGAAGATTTTTTTCTAATGTTGGTAAGAAGAAATTCAAACAACTTAACATAGTCTGAATAAATCTTATAATGGAGAAATGTTAGACCTCTTGCAGAATTCAGAGGTAAAAGTGCAGCATTAAGATTCGGTTCGATGCGCAATTCTTGCTCAGAGAAATCGAAAATTGGTGGCACTGGTCTACCATTTGGCAATTTGCAATTAGGATGGCGTAACTCATCGAAAAATGTATGAGCACATGCTTGAAGTGGTGATAACCGAGCGTTAGGCGTATATTCCAGAAGACGTGAAACAAGATCGACCGCTTCTGAGGGAGTACGTGGACGAAACACCTGAAACTTCTATACTGTGCTGATTCAAGAATAATTTTTAATGCATATTAGCTACGTACCATGATGTACTTCAACAACGCCAAAATGAACAACAGTACAGATTACGCAACTCTACTTTCAAAAGTTCGACCCATATAAATGGAAATTAATAAACTAATAGACATACACGTTGCCAAGGGTTTGCTCTGATTTGTGGAAATCTGAAATCAGTATAATTTGGATTCATCTGTTGAATTTGATCACGTGTGGGTGTACCCAACACTTTAATGATTTCCACGAGCTGATCCACACCTGAATCGCCTGGGAAAATTGGTTGTCCCAGCAGAAGCTCAGCAAGCACTGTTCCTGCTGACCAAACGTCTGAAATCAAAAACTTTGAAGCCGGAAAATGTAGAATTCAAGTATAAATGCATTTTTTACGGGCATGCTGTGATGAAAAATATATATCTAAAAACTTTACCAATGCTCGTTGTGTAGTCCGTTGCACCAAATATCAATTCAGGAGCACGATAGTAACTAAAAATATTATAGTAATTGCAAAGCAAGAAAATTAAATCAACCAAAAGGGAGAAGATGAATTTAGATAAAACCAAATCGTAAACACATGTCAGCATAAAAGTACCGAGAACAAATGTAGGACACATTGGGTTCTCCTCTGACAAGATGTTTTGCAGAACCGAAATCACAAAGCTTCAGCACGGCTGAATCTGGATCAAGCAATAAATTCTGTGGCTTGATGTCTCGATGACAGACGCCCAAGCTGTGAATATAAGCCAATGCACGAAATAACTGGTACATATACAACTGAAAACATGAATGTTTCAATATATTTTATAGAATAAACTTAAATCGCGAAAAGATCATTATAAATTGTATTATTTTAAACGATACCTTTATGTAGAGTGCAGGTATTATTTGTCGCTGTTTCGAATAATGTCGTGCAACACGATAAACAGTCTCTGGTATATACTCGAGTATGAGATTTAAGAACAAGTCGTCTTTCTGAAAGCAATAAAAATAAGTTATTTTTCATCTGATTAGTGAAAAAGAAAAAACGTAAATCGAAAAAGAACACAAGAATTACTACTCTGCACTTAAGTTCAGTGGTCTATCACTAAAAGTAACTCATTTAGTGTCTCAGACATCAATACAAAAGTTTGAAAAGCGTACTAGAGCAAAAAGTGTCAAATGCGGTTGACGGAAAATATGATACAAAAGGATTGGTAGTAAATCATATGATGAAATACCTTTTCCCCACTAGAATAAAAGAAATATTTCAATTTTACAATATTCTGGTGCTCCAATTTGCGCATTACTTGCAATTCACGATTCTGAAAAACTTCGCTTTCATGATTATTTGTAATTTCAAAATATTTATCTATTTATATTTATCGAAAATATATGAATGATTAAACCTTTACATAAGGATTATAGCAGTAAAAACATTATTTTCACAAGAGAAATACACATACTACGATCATTCAATAATATAAGCAATTTCAGCTTGCGGAAAACATCGTTTTAAGCTTAAGAAAAACCTATTATTCGCGTTATTTATGAACATCATATGCCCTTGAAGGCTAAAATCCTAATAAGACAGAAAATTATACAGCAATAATTGTATGAACAGCGCATACCTACTTCATTAATTTTCCTATGAAATTCTTTTCCTGGTACTCAATCCGCTACTTCGTGTAAAAAATGTCATCTATTGCAGTAAAACGTATATGCCACCCATCAGAAAGATGAATATTGCCTAATAATAAAAAATTCCGATTTTATAGCGCCATAATTGTCACGATTCATTAATTGCAAAGTGTTAAGCTTACCTTGAACCTTTTATCCTGTAGAACTTTCTTAATCGCGACAAGTTCATTAGTATCAGCAAGTTTGGCAAGATAGACCACTCCGAAAGAACCGTTGCCTACTACCTAGAAATGGTGTGATTAAAAATGATAACCAAATGAAAGAGAAAATGCACATCGCACTACCCCAAAACATAAAGTGTTGCTTATTACCCCTCGGACTATGTTATCAATGAACAAATGTAAGATGATAACTTTGATTTTTCTTATCAAACCAACAAAATCCGAAAAATCATTGAATCCTGAAAATCGAGAGACGTGTAACTTTAATTCATTGTTTCTACAAAAAAAAAAAACAAAATCTAGCATTATTTTGTGCTTCAGCAAATATAATGAGTAACCTTAGTGTCGGAGTATTGTACTTCAACTTGGCGATCCGGCCCATAACCAGGTGTGGCGACCACAGTAGTTATTCGACTATCCGCTTTCAGTGAGAACAACTGTTTACTCATTACTATTACCAAAAGCGAAGAATGGAGCGATCAGCTGAAGAATCAAACCAGTCCCAGTTTTAAATAATGGTAGTACATAAATGTTTGGAAATGAAAACGGTGCTTTGTAAGCAAGACTTATTTTTTATAATTGTAAAGAACATTTTCCCTTTCACAAATTTGTGTTGAGAAAGATGAATAAAATAAAGAAACACATGTCGCACTATCAACAATCTGCGGTTGAGATTTTAGCCATGTCATTAAAGGACACATTTTGATATACACTCTGTATGTGTAACAAGTTGGAAATATTCATGAACTTGAACTTTCTATCCCGACGATGATGGAAGCGATGGACAATTCCTGAGTTCCCCGTGATAAGCCGTTTATGACAACGTACGGTGCTCTAAATCATCTCACAGTTCTACAAGTATTTATTCAACAAACTACTCCCAAATATATCCTTGCAAAGGAAAAAAGAAACATGCAAGATTTAGCAGGGATGATTTTCACAAATCCTTAATTCATACTTCATCTTGCAAATATTGAAAACAAAACTCAGTTCCAATTGGCTATGCGGAATGCAATGACAAATAAGTGATGAGTATCAAAATGCATGCTCGCAAATAAATGGAAGATAAATAAAGGAATAAACATACGTGCAATGTAATTGGAAAGATGGCGCCAGTAAGGAATATAAAATGCAGCGTTCAGCTGTCACCAAAATTATTAGTGTGTCGTTAGCAGATTATAGATTTGGAAGACTTAATTTTTCTCGACTGAGGCGTATCTTCACAGCCACATGTCTCTCATACAACAACCTGGAATATTTGCAGTAAGCCTACATCTTTTCACCCTCTCTTTTACTATATCGTAGATGATGATGATCTTACAAGAATTACTTTAAAACCATCCGGTTATGTTTACAGAACGCAGAATCAAAATGATAATAGTCCAATCAACTTCGCATGTCGCAATCAGAATGATGATAAGTCAACGGGATTAAGGAACGATGGTCTAGGCACACTCTTCCAGTACTTATAGCTTCATATATCATTTACATTATTAGCTGTATTCATCCCTAAGTTTCTAAATAGTCAAAAACAACTCTGTATTGGAAGTGCTTTCGAATTTACTACTCTGACACCATCCGAAATATTACGGCTACCGAAATTCCACACAACTAATTATAATTCATCCTTAACCAACTACCCTGTTCCATAAAATTTATAACGCAATACTGGTCATTTCCTTTAATTTGCTGAACTATTAATAATGATAACAACAGTAATAACAGAAAACAACAGTCGTTTATCGAACACTTTGAATCATAAATTGAAAAAATGTAAGGTAACTACATGTTGTATAATTATATACCATAGCAATCCTTACACTGCCAAAAAATTTAACTAAAACTTCATGAATTACTTGAACTTTAACTAAAACTAAATAAATCAACTCGCTCCAAAAATATAAGCACGTGCTACTTCCTTTTATTATAAAAAAAATTTTCTTTAGAAAATACATGAAGAAAACAAAGAATGGAAAACTTAATGCAAAATTAAATGAAAATCGTTGATAGCCTCATTGAAAAAGAAATGGAGTATCAGTGCAGTGATGACGTGCTGCCATAACATCATCTTCCTGCCAATACAAAATCAGGCTTTCACAAACGAAACAAATACACAAGAATCAAAGAGAAATGTGTTAATGATTCACGAATTACAAATGACCAACCACTGCGCCACAATCCCTCATCTCAATCTCCAGCCATACCTATCGCTCTCATCCTTTCAACACCCCAGCTGACGTGAAGCTTCCTATCGCTTTGCGGGTTTGTGGTCAATTTGCGAGTGTTGTGAATGTACCATTCTGCTACAGGGAGCATGTGATCCCACTATTACGCAAAATTCTGTGGGTCAGTTATCTTTTCGTCGTGGGTAATCGTTCTGTGCATTCCACGATTTTATCGGAAAATTTGCAAGGTATCCATGAATGAAGCGTCCTGATTTGCGGAATAGAGGGGTAAATTCACTCCAGAAAAAAGATCTCCAGTAAAACAAGTGGCGAAATCAATTTCCTTCATGATATCCAACATGGGAATTGAGTTAATCCATCACAAGACGTCCCATTGTCATAAAGCTTTACTTTCCGGATACTCGGAGAACGCTTCAGAAGTGTGGAATGTTTGGCGTAACACAGAAAATTGTAGTATATTGTTCCCCTTCGTCGCTTTCATCGGAAATTCACTGAATTCTTTTTCTCTTCAATGTTAGTTGTGACGTAACGCCTATGAACCTGTTTGCGACAAGTTCCTTTTTTTGTTTCCTCTTGGAATTTTAAACAAAACCGCAAAATCATTCTTTTTTTGCTTTGTTTTAAACTCACACATTGAGTGAAGTAATAGAATACAGCAACGGTTATTGGAAAAGGGTGCTCAGGAAATGATGGGATGGGTTTGCGCTGAAAAAAAAAGTTCTCGAATATGAGACAGTGCTGTCACACCACAGTGTCTCGCTGGTATCACGTATCTGTACGTGATGTCATACTGTTCCCGATTGCTTGAAAGTATTAAGAAGTCGAATTAATAAATTGTACGCTGAAATAGGGTAACTTATGTAAAACAGTCAAGTAAAATTCCATTGTACGTTTCATGACTCGCTTAAATCTCATGTCGATGCCACTTGCCGCTGACAATAAAGTAGGATGTGAACCGTTCGTTTTGCAGTGAACGAGAAAAAAAGTTATAGAAAAAAATTTTTCAGCCTTTATTACTGGAATATTGATTGAAAAGTTCGGTGATAATATTCAAACAGTCATATGTAGGATAAATGGGAAAATCAGATTGGAATGGGAACTTTTCGTGACAAAATGTCACCTATGTCATCAAACTCAACAACCCAAAAAAGATGTAACCTGGCCAATAAAATATCTGAACATCCTATTATTAAGATCGAAATAATAATTCATAGAGGCTGTGAAATTAACGTTTTACCATTCCCAGTTCTCTTTACACACGTGCTTTTGTCTTCTTAATCCGTTTACGAACAACGAAAAGGATGGTCGTTGAATGAACTGAAACCAAAAACTGTCGAAATATCATAAACGATAAGGCAACGGCAGTGTTATCATCACAGAGTATCTTTTAATCACAACAGTCAAACCAGATGAGAGAGATTCATTCTGCCCATACTCCACTTCGTCGTAACCATAACTCTTCAAGTTCATTTTGAAAAGCCGCATAATAAACAATCAATTACCTTCATCACATATTGTCTTTGGCTCCATTTTTCAAGTTAATTAACTTGCATAATACTCTTAATTAGTGACGCACATTTTATCACCTAAACTTGCATATACTCTATATTGGCAGACCAATTTGAGTAATAATATCTGTTAAAGGGCTGTACATTGGAAGCAAATAGGGAAAAGGGAGGATGATTGGGCGTGTTCGTAACATTCACGAAAGATAAAAGCAAACAATTTCATCCTTCGGAGTACAAATTTCATTGAAAACGTTGCATTTGGTTACATTCCATCCGTCGCAAACAATTTTCGGAAAAGCCGCAGATGATTTGCAGGAAATTCATATACCAGTGTACTTTTCGCCCAGCCAAGAGGAAGGACATCACGTCCTGTTCCCTGAAAAACCAAAATTTTGATGTTTTCACCAAGTCGCTTGTATATTTTCATACAACAGAAATTCTTTTATGTATAACTTCATCCGCTGCGACATTCATCGACAAAGCAAAAAAAGGAAGTTTATAAATTAATGGCCACAAAATACTGACTCATCTTCCTACTATCATTTAGAAAAACCTTAATAAAATCGCATTACTCATCAAATCATTTCGTGTGATACATCGACAGGCAATACAGTTGTTAAACCATACAATCCATTCTTAAGGTTGAATTGCTAGTAGACCAAACTAACTGACTGACCACAGCTATATATATAGTTATATATATATATATATATATATATCGTTCCTTCTTCGATCCTGCTTAACTTTTCCATCTCTCATATCATGAAAGCTCGTAATACAGAAGTACGGAAACTGGGAGCATTTACTAAGCCCTTCCTTTTGTCATCCATATATCATAAACAGCTGAAAAGCAGTCCACCCCTTGATTACCTGGAAAACTACAGCACAAAACCGTTGATTACTTCCCTGGTCTATGAATTCACCATTCATAAGTTTATGCAGATATTGCTTCACGGTCACTGCTTGCTCATTTCCATTTGATTTTAACATTTCCATATATTCATCTGTGAAAACGCAAACAATGTTGGACGCCTAAATTTGTTGGGATTTTTACTTAACTTTTTTTTTGTTTTATTTGGATAAATTCTAACCAGCAATAGGGTAAAAAGAACTAAATAACTTCTACTATAAAATACGGGAATAAAATCAAGATCACTGAAAAGAATAAAGAACAATGACATTCCATATTTTAGCACAATGGGAAGCAAAGGCTTGTGGGGATTTCATTTTGCAACTGACTGGACTAATTGGACAACTCTTCACATTTATCGATAAGCTTGGAATCATTTTTAAACAGTTAATCAAACATTAAGCAATAACTTACGTCAGCAAATAAAGCATGTAAACCTTCAAACTGGCAGCTTGTTTCCAAGTAGTCGTCAATGTCAAATGCTAACATATTAACTTGCTCAGCTTGCTTCCTGAAATAAACAGCGAATTATGGAAAGGCATTATTAGCTCCTTCATAACATTTGCCGGTAAACTTATACATTTCAAATTTCGTAGAATGACTTGTCAAAATTTTAAATATCTGCCTAAAGCATTAAATATATTTTTCTTGGAGAAGCAAATTTTTTTAATGCTTTAACAATTTTTTCTCGATAGAGTCATTAAAAAAACATGTTGTTGCTTAATTAAAATAACCTGAGGAAATACCTTAAGTTTTTCAGAAACCATTTATAATTTTTTCGCAACGCGACACTTGTGATAAACTCATGATGCGTCACCAAAATAACTGTAAAACATCAACTTCTTCTATATCTCTTCACAGAAATATATTTCGGTCTTGGGCATATCTTAAGACGGAAATTTAAAAATATATGCTGTTTGTACAAAAATAGAATTTTTATTTAGCAGTAATGAAAAATGTACATTTCTGCTTGCTAGCTACAATATCAGCATTCGATGCCTTGGGACGTACAAAACCACTGGAAGATGCAGAATATGTAAGAATATCGTTTTTTTCCACATTCACAAACGCACCTGAAAATAGATGCCATAGAAGCGTAACAGACTTCCATGTAAAAGTAATGACCACAATCATCATACTTCTGTTTGATCCTTAAGAATGCCTGTATTTAATTTATCTTAAAATTAATTGATCATTTCACAATAAAAGTGAGGATGTTTAAATCTCCAAGATAGAGATCACATGTTAAAAAAATACCTGAATCAGAGTTCAATATTTCTGCATTATCACCGGTTCTCACTGCACTCTCAAGATAAGGTTGCAGTGATAAAAGTGCGTCGACCCGATTGATTTTTGCCAATACGTTAAGCAAATTTTTTAAAGGACGATGAGCAATTTCTCGTAACACGTTCGCAGTTGGATTTGCAGATGTTCGTAAGTACTGAAAAAAAGCTCTCCAACAAAAAAAAAGTTGGTAATTCTATAACAATCAAGCGTATAAAGCTTTTAAGAATATCATAATTCACACAAATTACCATGTAAATTTTATAACTTCCCATAACAGTCGACAGAAAATTATGCAAACCATGATTTTGCTATTAGAAAAACCGAATTCGGCAGCGACGTACTCCCAGTTCAGCATTGAACCACGTGATGGAGGATTAAGGCAAAGTTCTATTTCCTGTAATCCACGCATTGGTAAACCAATAACAGAAATATTTTCGGGAATTTCCGGAATTAAGTCCCATGCACATGGAGGAGGACTGTTGAATGAGAACAGGGAAATTGATTCCTTTTCGCTACTCTAAAAAACAAAATTTCAATATTTCTGAACTCATACATGTATTTTGTCTATGATTATTGGCAATATATTATTTCAATTGATGACCACAGACAAATTTTGTACGTCGTGATTCTGCTCTGTAAAATATTCCATAAAAGTGCACAATTTACCATAGCAACAGGAATTTGATATAAATACCTGGCTTGAGATGACAGCAGGAGCTGGACATACATCACTATCGAGCTCAATGTCCAGCGACACTGATTGTGGTCCAGAAGTGTCCATCGAATGTCACAACGAGTAAACAACTAACCATTAATCCTCAATTCCTACAGTAAAATCCCAATTAGCTGAAGACTTTTATACAAAAGCATATATACACTTAGTTACTACCGCTACCCGAAACGATTTGAAATTACAAAAGCTTGAAGCGATAGGAAACCAAGTACTTACATTCATTCCACCTCCTCCTCTACATATCTGAACTATAATTTCATTAAAAAATGCGAAATCCCTTGAGCTGTATAGAAAGTGCATTTTTTTTTAAAAAAAGAAAGCATACTGGGAATACTGCGATTAACTAAAGGAATGTTCTGGACACGGCAACTATATGTTCACCTGTGCATAAATACATTTCTTCGATCGAAAGCAATTCCCACCTGAACCTTTCAGAGGAAGCTTTTATCTGCTCAATAAGTGAGTACAACTACACTAACCTGATCGATTACATAAAATTTTAACCGTTCAGACTGTTTTAAGAGAATTATTGATGGCAGGAGAAAACTACGCTCCACTGTATCAGTGCAGGGCGTTTCATATTCCTAATAGTGTGGATAATGCTTGTCGAAGATTTTAACGGTGAATTTTTTAATGTAAAATCAACAGTTGTTGGCATAACCAAGAGGACAGAAGCAAATAAATGCTATCTATTGGTATGATATATCATGAGTGAAACACAAAAAATATCCTATAATTTATACTCCTAAATAATGTATATAGTTATGTACTGCGTTTTACAATTTCAAACATGCATGTTATGAAGAGGATTTAAAACAGTGTCTAATGACACTGTAAGGTAGTCGTCATTACCTACACAACTAAAATGAATTTGATAGATATATTCAATTAAGGCGTCACAACATGATAAAAACAATGAAAGCTACCGAGTCATCAAGTATCCTCGATGTTCCTTCGAAATGAAAAATAACATATAAATCGTAATGAAAAAAGCGCTATTCAATAGACATCGTCGAAACTTTCAATCAGGAAAAATACATAAGAACATAAGACAATAAGCAATCCACTCTGTACACGACAATATCCATAATATTGAACTATTAAAATGAACAAATAACATTTATCGAGGGTATTGGTAAGAAAGACAAAACAGAAGCAAAATATAAAATACCAGTGTAATTATTAACTTATTTCTGAAGAGTAAATAAGACCTCTGCTTACTCAAATGTTGACATTTTGTCAAAAAATATGGATATTTCTTGTTATTGAAACATAATCTCATGTAGTCGAACATTTAGAATTAACGATTCTTTTATTAATTTAAAAAGAAATCAATTCCATAAAATCATTTCAGATGTATTAAAATTAAAACTATTAAAACCAAACAATTTAATTCTTATAAAATTAAAAAATTTAAGTTATTAAATTATATAGCCATTTATCAAACATAACTAACAATAAGTTCTGGATATAACTGTAACGGAGCAGATGATGCAAAGAGTGCAACCTGAATTAATGCGACTTCAGATCATGCATTATTCTTAGGCAAATTTCGTAAAACATGAAGGCTAAACCGGAACTGCAAGCAGCTTTGAGCTGTGATGGCCAGAGCCCTTTGAAAAGTCCTATAGAAGAAGCATTGAGAAAGCAGTTGTGAAAAAAAAAAACAGGCATTTTGAAGTATTTATACTAGAACAAAAAAAACGGATATTTTAACCAAAATAGGAAAAACTAATACCCGTGATTTTTTCATCCCTCAGAATGGAACCAATGGTAGAATACATAGAATACCATGGTAAATGATTGAAACGATCGAAGCCGCGCGCCTAAACGAATTAATTATTTCAATAACAATCAACTTAGGCAATAGACTTTCAATAACACAACATGATGCATGCAGAGAAATCGTAATTTCTAATAAAGTCTTCAAGTTTAATTTGAAACAAACTTGTAAACGATGTCGTACGACATCTAAGGGATAGACTGCTGTTTTCGAAATTACACCAGCCAAGGCACCACAACACAACGATCCAAAAGATTCTGCAACTTTTTTATTCAATTCAAATGATTCAATGTTCGAAAAGAATGACAACAAAATTTTGCGCCCAGAAACTTCGAAATATACCTAAGTTTTTTGGAAGTCTTTCCCATGAACTGCTGAAAGCGTTGTATAAGGAAAACTGCAAACCTGAAAAATAAATTTGATTGTTTACTTCAACTTAAAAGTGAAAAGATACAAATTCTGAAAATTGAGAAATTTTGGGAACATTTCAATGACCAACCAATAAAAGGAGCAATCTGAATTAAAGATGGAGTGATTCCTCGGTAAAAACCACGAAAACCTTCCGAATTCCAAATGAAAATTATAGCGTGCAACGTCCCACTATAAACCTGTAATCCCAATCATTACGTGCTAAACACGTATTTTTAAGTTCCGCACAACTCGGTTAGGCCGGAATACTAGTCCAGTTGAAATATACTTTGCGTTGATCCTGAATAATTAATCTTGTCCTGATAACATCGAACGGCAACGAAGAAGCCGTCGCTCCACATCCAGCTAACGCCCCGCATATTATGTCCGTTACTCGTCGATTTTCATTTGCAACTAAAAGCACAATTTTTACCAAGTAGTGTGTCTCACTTAAAAAAGGCAGACAACTGCTGAAAAAATCTGTGGTTAAAAACATAGCATTCAGAAAACTGATCTCGAATCTCGAATTTTCACGTTAAATTAAAGTGAGCAATCACAAGAACTTTTTACCCATTTTTTCTATATAGCTATCAGAATGAGCTGTGGTAACATACGCGGGTAATGAATTGCCTGCTCAGTAAGGAATTCAAAAGTGGCAAACTGCACGATTCCATAAACAGCGGATAATCCTTGAGCAGGAACATGACCTTTCCAGAATGCCACTAATCCTTCATCTTTATAAATTCGTGAACAAGCTTGAAAGATGCCACGATACCGTCCTTTAGTTTTACCGAACGTCGGTTCTCGCTGAACCTTGAACAGTAACGCAAACAAGTTTTGACATGGAAAAACAAGCAAATATGTCAAATTTCTGAAAAAAAATCTACAATTTCCTAGCCCTAAAATCAGTTTCAAGCACAAGTGTACGAATTTTGTTTTAAAAGAGAAATATTACTATTTACAAGTTCGATGGACTTTTACCCCAACTAATTTCGAATATTAAACACTTACACCATTATTAATTTAGCCCCGGATTTGTAGATCGGAATCTCATCTGGTCCTCAGTGAACTCGGTAATTATATTTTCTTTTGAATGCGCTAATACATTAGTTAAGTGTCGAACAATTATCTATTATTCGTGTCTGCTGTACTAAATAACTTGCTTAAAACATACTTGAAATCGAATTTTTAAAACATCAAGAGGTTGTATGAGGAATCTCGTCGCAACTCCAGCAATAAAACCCGCTTCACTGTACTCAACCAATGTCAGGTCTCGGGTATCATATCCAATCATATTTTTCGTCTAATAATTCCTAAAAGATGATTTCCACATAATTTTCACAGCTTACTAAGACCAAATACTTGCAACTATCCTCAAAACATGCGTTTTCTCCCAAAAAAAAGAACATAGGAAGACGACGATATCTGTTTTGTCGGAGTAAAACGGAAAAGTTAAAATATGCTATTCCACTAACATTTTAGAAAAATTCGATATTTAAATGAGTATTACTTCAGCTAAGAAAAAAACCTGAAAAGATCGAAAGAACCTTGCCCCTCACTGGTCATCAATAATTCATAAGCACAATATCAGAAAGCTTTAGATGTCTGTGCCACCTTCTTGGAACAGAAGCAATTCCGGAACGCGGTGTCAAATTCCGATTTAAATTTCAAAAGTCTTGAGTAATTTTCAGTAGATATTGAATTAAATTTGAATAAAGTGCTGCCACCCTAGACTAAATTAGCTCTTCAGTTCATCCTTTGTTGCTAACTTATCCCACTGTTAGGCATCTTACCTTGTTTATTGCTTTTTATTTCAGCATTATTCTTTGTATTAATGGGAAAAAAAAACGTTCCAATTAATTCTTTTATTTCTCGAATCCTGATTTTTTTTTAAATTCCAAATAGCTTCAAATTTCGAACTTGAAAAATTCCTAAAATTTCCTTTATTATTTTTAAAATGTTCGATAAAGTGAATATTAGCTTCCGTTTTCTTCCTTACCCTCTCTTTCACCATCTTTTTTTTACATTCTCCTCTGTCTCTCTCTCTCTCTCTCCCTTCCTTCCTTTTTCCGTCTCAGAAGCATTCTTAATTTTAGGCAATGTTCCTTTCCATATACAAAGACAGGAATGAAACATTGTAAACAAAGCACTTATTTTACTTTCACAGGGATCATTCTGCTCTATCGTCTTTACAGTGCAACCTTTTGCTTGATATCATTCGTTGAAACAAATCGCTCATTCCATTATTCCATTTGTTTTTATAAGTTCAATGGAAATTTTCTCAGTTAATCAATTTAATTTTTAATGAATTCTACTAAATATGCCTAAAATATTGCGTCATAAAGAGCATATGAAATGCGTGCAAAATTTTGGACCATTCAATTGATAACAGAGAAGATTGAATGATTTATAATGAAAGCTGAAATCATCATAATATTTTTTCTCTTAATCTTTGATAATAAGACGAAAGAGTGAAATTTAACGACTTAATTGCTCGATTAAAATCAGTGTCGTTTTGGTTAATTATGATTAGCTTTTCTGCTTTATCACTACTCGAATTTCATTCTTTGTTAATTAAAATAAAGTAGCATCGACTCACATTCTGAAATCAGCTATTAGGAAAAATTGAAATTTAGCATGTAAAAGAAACTTAGTTTGAATGTTAATGATGTGACAGTGAATGTGTAAGCAATCATACTATTATTATCCCATTTAGTCATTCTTTTAAATGATTTCTTCAAACTCTTCCTTTTTTTGTCTGAGTTAAAATTTGTTCCACTTGTTGTTGATGAAGTACAATGGGGCGTAAAGTGGCATCGATTCACATTCTAAAATCAGCTGTTGAAAAAGGTCGGAATTTAGTATGTAATGAGTTGAGGTCAAAATCCATCCGAACTTTTGTTAGAGCACAACAGAGGGAGTTGAGCAGTAGTTTGTGCTACACATAAACGACAGATAAGGTCGAGCTTCATACCCACCCTTTCTGCTTTCTTCACGTTTTCCTTATCGATGTCACTTACCACTACTTGTCATTACTGTTGAGCTGTCCTCAACCGTATACACACATTACATGGAATGTCCTTGCTTTCTCCTCTTCCTCCTCCTCCTCTTCCTCTCCTTCCATCTTCCTTCTCATCCACCTGTTCTTCACCGATCTTTCCTTCTCAATCTACCCACTCAACACTCATTTACCTGCATTTCATCCGACTACTGCGACGGATTGTGTTCCTGATATATAGTTCTTTTTCCTTACAATTTTCAAGTTCATATTGCGAGAATTTATGAACTTTAGGGATTGTACAGAATTTAAGCCGTATGGTAATCGCCACAACAATATGGTA